TGAACCAAAGAACCCCATAGTGGAGCTCACTGTTAAGAAAGCCCCCTTTCCCAGCCAGCCTGGTGCTGTGTTCACTGGGATCAACCCTTCTCTGTTCCTGTTTCCTTCACAGAGCTGTCTGATGCCACTCTGGTCCTGCTGCGTGCCTGCTGTGATCTTCAGGTCGTTCCGGCACTGTGCTGTTTGGTGAGTAGTCAAAATGTGGCCGTGTAGCACACGGGCCCCAGAAGCAGTGGTGGCTGTGCCCTCTGCCTCACTTTGTTTCTCACCCAATAAAGAGGATGTCAAGCTCCAGTGTGAATTTCAGCTGTAGACATTGCTCAGGCAAGGTCAGAGTCTGATGGTGGCAAATGAGGCAGGCAATTTGCCGCAGGTGGCTACTTAACTCCTAAAATGTTTCTGTATTTGGAGATTTCATGGGCTGTGAGCAAAAGAAAATGGTAACTTAAGCTCGAATTTTACTTTACTCGTAGTCTCACCAGCCCATTTTAAAGTCTCAGTAATCACCTGCCCCTGGGAAACTGAAATTTCCCTTTGATAGCAGCAGCCCTTGGGCCTTGGCAAATTTTGAAGTTCCAAATCCCTGGGGCCGTTCATTGAAACTGCTGCAGGAAAAGACAGGCTTCTTTTTAAGCTCTTCAAGCTCGCTGGCAAAACTAATAGTAAAAACCTTTAAATGTGTAGGGGCAAGAGGTACTGCTGCTTCCTCAGAGTAAGAGTGAGAGTTAAGTGTGATCTGCAGTGAGAGAAGTTGGACTGGGGGAAAAGGACATGGCAGGAGAGACGCTTCTCCTTAAAGGGTGCCACAGAGCTTTGGTTCTGGATGAGGACGTTGTACTTGCCATGGCAAATAGTAAAGGGAATTGTGCCCTTGTGCCGCTGCCGTGCAAGCTCTCCAGTGGCTTTGTAAGAAAGAACTGAGCAATGCGATGGCAGGAGCAGCACTGCCTGGAAACCTTTGTAACGTCTCTGTCTTTTGTTCTCTCTCATCAATGCAGCCCAGCATCGCTGCAGCCGATGGCACCGTGGCGCTGAGCAGTCCTTTGGTGGCTGCTCTCGCTGACAGAGGAAGATTTGATGTCGTGCAAAGGCTGTTTGCTTCATCCAACGTTAATTTGGAAATGACGGAGTCGTCTGTAAAAGCTGTAACTGCGAAAGAACCTGGATTCTTCCCGCTTGTTCTTTATGTTGCATTGTATGGATTTCACGCTTTAGGTGGGAATGTGTAGGAGCTTTGCCGAGTACCCAGTTACTGCTCTGCCTGTCCTTTCTCCTGTAGCTCTGCAGTGTGGTGGTGCTGTGTTTGTGGTAGCAGTAGAGCCGCCTGGTTGATACTGAACCGCAGTCCAGCCAGGGGTGGCGGAGGTCGGGGTGGACTCATCACGCCTGGGGTGAGCGCCCTGTGCTGCCAGCGACGCTCTGCATTTCACCAAGGGGCGTGTGTGTCTGCAGGGGAACAGGCGTGAGGAAGGGATTTAAGGGAGGAGGAAACCAAGATGAGCCCGGGACAGAAATTGAACGTTGCTGTTCTGGTGGCTGTCAGGACTGCAGGGCAGTAGGAGCCTGATTGCTGCCATTAACATGCACAGGAGAAACCTGCAAAGTGCAATCTGCTTCTTGTGAGCATGCAAACAAGCAGGCTGTGGAAATCCGGGGTGCTGCGACGCAGGAAATGTTTTGCTCATTTAGGACTACGTGCAGAGTGCCTTCACTCTGGAGCAGGCAGAATGGAGGGCTCTCGGGTGCTCGATCAGGTTTTTATTTTAGTTTGGCTTTATGGATGTGAACTGCACACTGCAGAAAGTAAAGAACTTTTTCAGAAACTAAGAGCACCTTAGGGATTTATGCCTCTGTACAGCATTTCTCTGTTTTCTAGTAAGATTTTACTCACTGTAGCAAGTTTCAGCTGTTTAAATTGCATTCTGAACTTTCCTTTTGAGGTGCAGTGATGCCTTTCGGTGTGTGCATGTGAAGTGTCCCTGCTGCGCTCCCTAGAAACGATCGCTTTACCCATATGGCATCTTGAGTGCAGATGTTTTGCTTGTTTCCTTGACGAACGGCAAAGCATTAGTAAAGCACTTTGTGCTTTGAACTGCTTTTGTCTTTTCTTCATTATGGTTGTTTTTTTAATCATGTGGATGAGACAGAAATGCAGCAGGGATCACAGTAAATGTGGGCTTAGGAAGACGATGGCCCAGGGAAGTGGAACACCGTACCCTAGAGCGCAGGACAGCCTCGCACACTGAGCTGTTGGGTGTTTCTGGGTCTCATCTGTGAAATGAAGCTGATGCTGTTGCCTGAACCTCGCACTGGCGTCTATGGAAATATCCTTCAGGGGGATGGAAGCACCTTACCCTTCTTTAAAGGAGTCGTGTGTGTGCTTGTAGATGGGAGTCTTCTTTTGCCAGCTGCTACTCTAAGTTGCCTCTGTAACTAGCTAATTTATCAAAGTTTTGTATTAAATATTATGCCAAAACAGTAGAATAACTCATAACCATTGCCATTGTTCTTTTTGGGGGGATTCTAGTCATGGCCTTGGCCTTGAAAGATGGTGGCCACGTGGGCAAACGTAGTGCCACTGTCTGTGTGCTCTGATCTTCCTTATAGAGTTTTGGGGTAAGCCTTATGTGTGCCATGCTGCGGAACTGCTTTCAGGGGGTGTGTGTTGTGTCATATATGTAAGAGGGGATTTGTTCAAAAAGGGGGCTGAAAATCCCCCTGTGTTCTGTAAGCATAATTTAAAAAAAAAAAAAGGTGTTGGTTGGTTCCTGCTATTTTGCTTTCAGATGTAGCTTAGTCACCTGCTTCAGCTAAATCCACTGAGCAGGTTCTGGCTGAGGAGTGCGAGACACCCAGAAAGGAGGGGTCGTGGGGCTGTGGTGCCTCTGCTGAGGGGGGCAGAGGAAAGAGGCAGAGCAGCCTCAGGCTCACACAATGTGAGAGAACGCTTGGGCAGACGGTGGTGATGCCCCAGGGTACCCAGGCTTCAGGGTTGGGTCTCTTGGCTCCTTGCCTCCTCTGCTGCCACACTTGGGACTGATCGATGTCCCTGCAGAAGTCGTTGGCTGCACTTCAGTCTTGGCGCTGTCCCTTTTTGTGCTCCCTGTGGAGGGATTTCCCAGCTTTCCTCCATTTGGCAGCACTTCTGTGACCGCAGAAGCACCTCTGTCCCAGCAGGAAGCCTAGGATGGCCTTTTTGGAACTCAGTGAGCAGCATAGCTGTGGGAGAAAAAGAGCCACTAAGGCAGGTCATATATTCCTCATTTTCTCTCCAGTTCATTCTTCCATGCTCTTGAAAGCAGGATCTTTATGCACATTAAAAATAGGTCAGGCTGGTGATAGGAAGATACAAGGCACCAGCAGAAGCAGTTTGTCTCCCTGCAAGTGACTCATCTGGCCCTTCCCTGAGCTAAATGAGGACAGCCTCTTCGGGAGCCAGCCTGAGCTGCACTGAGCCAAACACATTCAGAATCCACTTCAGAAGAGGGGGATCTGCATCCACTACAGCCTGGATAAAGCAGCAATTTCCTGTGACAGGCTGGCCTCATTCAGAAAATGCCTTTTCAAGATTAGATAGGGAATGGTGCTAGTGAAAGGTTTGATTTCACCCCTGACACCCTCCCCAGAGCGGTGCTTCCCTTGCTGTAGCTCTGCATGCCCCAGGAGGAAGGGGGAACCCACACCTTTGCCATTCAGGCTCAGATCAGGACCAGGGCACGCGAGGGCCACAGCCCCTTTTCGAAGAGCAGGAGCTGTCTCGGAGGCTCAGCTTTGCTGTCCATAACTGGAACACGCCCGGCACAAGCTGCAGCCCTGAGTCCCTGGGGCTTTGGTACATGGGCCCATGACCATGCAGGCTTAGGAGAGCGACTCCCTTAACTCTGCAGTGCTCAGAAAATGGAGCCTCAATTCAGCACTGACATTTATGGGATGGATGAAGAGGCCCCAAGAGCTCTGTACACTGAACGGGGTCTTGGCACCTTCAGGAACATGAAGCTAAACAAGACCAACCGAAATGTTGCTTTTCTGAACTTGGAGCACTGAATGAGACGTAAGCACACGGGCAGTGGATGTGCACCTGTGCAGACGAGTTGCTCAGTGCAGTACGTGGTACCAGCACAGTAACCTGTGAGCGTACAAGTAGGAAACTGCATTCAAAGTGTTTAGTGTGACCAAAAAAGACCAGGAAAAAGCTGATTACATTTTTTCAATATTAAATCTTTATTATATACAAAAATATTTTGTTGGGAATTAACAGAATTTCACAATTTGTACATTAACATTGTTATGTTTGGCTGTGTTACTGTGAAAATATTAGCTGTGAAAAAGACAAGGGGGGGGTTTAGAAAACAAGCCACAACTTCAGAACGCCCTATGCATTGGCTGACTACCAGCGCAAAGTCAGAACGCTACCACGTCCCAGCTCCTAGGCCTGCTCTACAGTGTTGTATTCAAACAACAACTGAGTACTAAAGCATCTTCAGGTTTACAGTAGAAAGTTTAGCTAATAGTTAAGGGTTTTTTTTGGTAGGATGTTTTCGGCTAAAGGTTTTTTTTACAGGAGAGCAGTTTTTAAAGTTTTACAAACGTCAAATCCAGTTTAATTTAATAATACGCTGTAGAAGAAAAACAAACAAACACGAGAGCTTCCATCAGGCAAAAACAGTTGTGAGAAGCAGCAAGGAAAGGAAGTGCATGGTGACAGACTGCTAATACACAAACACTTAACCAAAATGGTACAGTTCTTGGCCCAGTTTGGGGTGGGAGCGCAGCAAACTTCTTGCCTTTAAAACTGAAGGAAGCAGCCCCTTTCTTACACCACAGTACACAAATGTTCCACACAGGCAGCACGGGATGAGGGAGCAGGGGAGGGAGCGCTCAACGTGCGTTTTCAGAGGGGGAAAACACATTTCAACAGTTCCCTCCATACAGAATTGTGTGCAAGACCTAAACCAACAAAAATCAGACCGTTTTGCTGCCACCCCTACAGCTGTAGAAAGCAGGGCCATGAGTTTTGCTCTACTCTATGCACCCTGTAAGGGATCAACGAGCAGAGAAGTGACTTGGGGTTTTGGAAGAGGTTTTCCTGTATTCTAGGTGCGTGCTGGCTACTGCTGAAGCAATGCTTGGGCCGGCTGTGACAACAGCCAGACCTGCAGGGACAAGCGTCAGCACGGAGCTGATGACACGAAAAGGACAAAGGGGAGAAAGCGTTTCCAGGACGACTGCGGCTACGTCAGCCGGACAGGTTGGTCAGTGAGTACTCCACGTCCAACCGCTGCCTTGGCACCAAAAGGAGCTCCACACCCAACCAGCATGAGAAAGGGTTAAAAATACTGAGAACAAGATTCACATTTACTTTAAGTGTAATTTAGTCTAGAAAATACAAATATTGCTGAGACTCTGCTGAAAAAAAATTCTGTTGGGAGGTGAAATTGCTTCAGAGCCTTCACTGAGCTTGAGTTTGTTTTTAAGCCTGCAGTAGCAGCAAATGAACTGAGAACTCAGCAGTTTAAAACGTGACCGTTTGTGGAACAGCACCCCCCTACAGGGAACATGGGTGACTCAGCAGATACTGTCTGAATTACTTGCCATACTTACCTATCCCTAAATTTTATTTCTATATTTATAGTGTGTATGCATGCAAATTATTGCACTTTTAATGTTTGGTAGCCAAAGCTGTCTCTGAATATTGGTTGTTTTATAAGTGTCTTGTGACTGAAAACATCAAGTTACACCAGTCTTAAGTACCCATGTTTATATTGACCACTGAGAATCCCAGACAAGTCCCATCAGTGAGCGTGTTAAACCTGCATGAAAACGAGAAGGGTAAAGGAAACCCAGCAAAAACAACAAAAAAAAAACGGCCCAGGAGAGGTTCTGTCTGAAGCTGGAGGGGTGTTTAAGGCAAGAGGCCTGGCAGAGAACCAGTCTTTGCATCCAGTGGGAAGAGGTAACCGAGTCTGAATTTGTCTGTTCACAATTAATAGCTCACGTGCAAAGACAGGGAATAACCCACACCTCCTTCTTGCTGGAGTGGTGCTCTGCTTGACCATTCTTGGTCCTTAAGCACAGCAGAGCCGAGCCTGGCTCCACAGGGTCCCTAGCCAGGAATTTTCTGTGCTTAAAAGAGAGAAAAAAAAAAATACCCTATGTCTTACCTGAATCACCCTCTTCTGAACAAAACCAAACCCAGCTGACTTTCTGAACACTGAGCTGCAGGCAATTTGCACAGAAAGTCATTTAGGTATGATTTTAGAAGATGCAATGAGTTAGAATTGTACAGAGGACTGGGAAAAGTCACACTTTGAGCCTACCCAAGATGTGACAGTTTATATAATAAACACACATTCAGAAGTGATGAGCTGATCTGCCATCCTGCTCCACAAAGCCTTTGTACGACTGAGTACACAGAGCTGCACTGATCTGCGAACACAGCACGAGTTCAGGATACTGCACTGGTTATAAACTCGGTTTCCCTTGCCTCTGTCGGTCTGTGGATTTTGCTCCAATTTTACCTTCATTTTATATCGCAGAACATTTTGAAAGACCTTCGTAAACCTATGCAAAATGACACATCCCATTATAATTATCCCACTAAGCTTTAACTGACTGCATCTTGTCACGCGATGCAGACCCTGAAGCGGAGCTGCTGGTGGAACATTTAGAGACAGCAAGGTCATCACCTGGGTACACGTGCACCAAAGTATTTACACGAACGTTGAGACTGGTGCACACTTAAGGGAATTTTTGGTGTATCCAAGGAAAGAACTTCAGGGTGTTGGCATACTGGCTGTACTTAAGTGTAACCTTTCATTCACAGGGCAACTACAGTGTTTCTTCTATAAGTCTCTATATGTACAGAATTTTACAGCACCTCATGCACTGTCCAAAACAGATAGAAATTACAGATAAATATAGAATTTTTAGATTGAAATATCCGTATATTTAGAAAAATATACATTAGTAAACACAATAAACCAGGTAGAGAAGTGTACCAGTTCTAAAATCTCACATGCAGGTACATTGGTGGATTAAGTCGTGGTAGCTTAGTAATGTGATAGCAGACATGAGCATTTTCGTGTTTTACCATCCACATACGTACATATACACAGACGACTATTTGATAATTTACTTTTCTAAACTACTTAAATATTTATCTTGTGATACATACCACATATCTTAAACGTTTAGCAGCATCTTTACCTCGCTCAGACACACCTATTGTTATCATTAACAGTCAACGCAAAATGTTTTCCCGTTAGTATCTGAAAATGCATGTTTAGTACAGAATGAGATACATGAAATCCTCGGTATTTTAAATCCCCAAAATACTTCAAACAGCTGTTAGAGGAGATGTTTTCACCTGCTCAAAACTACCCTTCCATAGTGTCCTTCTCTCCTAACTGCACAGGTCTCTACCCAACATCTGCTCCAGCACACCCTGACACAGGTAGAGACCACCCCCACGATGTCTATGACTGAAATGGCACCACTGTTCTAATTCCAAAAATGATCTTATTTTAAAAAAGTCACTGTCACTGCAGTCATCCTACCAGGCAGTGATAAACTAAGCAGATTTTGCTAAACAACAAAACAAAACTCACCACCACAAAACCAAACCAACTCCTCTCCCTCTCCCCAGACATTGTACACCTGCCAATCTGAACTCCCAGTTTTCAAGACTGAATTCTTAAGATGCAAGGAATGTGGTGTTTGGTTTTGCTTTATGGGTTGGGTTTTTTTTTTTCCCCTTACAACCTGCGTGTGGACATCCAATTAAAACCTGCAGACACTTTTGATATTATCTTTGCATGCAACCTAAGCAAGCCATCTGCTCTTACTGCTTCAGGATTGTACTTCTCCTTGGCATCCACATTACACCACCAAATGTGCCAACTGCCTGATTTAAAACTACTACATGAACCTCTAGCAAAAGCTAAAAACTTTAGGCTTTAGCAAATCCATGGCTATTTGGAGACTGCTAACTAGGGAGGCTTTTTTTAGTATTCTCCTGGGGATGGAAACAGAAGGAGCAGAGAGGTTTTCCTGGCTAAACCTTGGTGCCTGTGTTTCAGCTGGTTAAGTAAACCCACATGTGGAAAGAAAGATGCAAACAAGCGATATGTGCAATATAAAGTTCTGCGGTGTGGAAAGTGAAGAATCTTCTCGTTCCATTCACTAGGGAAGAGTGAGCTCAGCCCACTTTTGGCATTACAAAGAGAGTATTTTCTAACTCCTAATGACAAGGCATCGTATCTGTCCAGATAGCACATCTTATTTACAGCATACAGAGGTCTCCTATTACACAGCGTACAAACACAGTTCAGTCACGTTCAGCCTATAGTGGCCATAGCAAATCATTAAAACAGTCAAGCAATGGCTCTGCTCTCACTGCAGCTACATACAGCACTTGATCCATTTCTCAAAGCAGCCTTTGAGTGACAGGATCAGAGAACATGGCTCCTGGGAAAGGAAAATAAAAGCCTCACGCTGGTGCCACATTTAAAAGCTCTGCCAAACTTAAAACGAAGCAAAAGAAAACGCATGCTGAAAAGTGTAACAATAAAACAAAGTAGTGGTACAAGTTTTCCTTAAACAATTTCAGATTCCCTCAAAAAGACTGAAATCTCGGTATTAAGAGCCACAGAAATTACTGGTGCTATCAACAGTTCCAACTAACATTTTCCACATACACTGGGATCTCAGCCTCCCTGATCTTCCCCCCCCCCGCAACAGCCAACTTTATGGGCCTTTTTTAAAGTCATCTGTAGTATATGGGTGTTTGGAGACCTACATTTTTCCTATACTGCATCAACTCCACTTTTCTTTTCCTTGTGCACATCAAAGTCTGGAAGAGCCCCAGGAAGCAATGCTGTTTTACAGTGTCTACGCCTCTTTTCTTTCAGCAGTCGTTCAGAGGAAGCCGCCTTTTGCTGGCATTCCCTGTCACGCTTTGGTGTCGAAACAGGATACAGAAGCCAGGTGCCTGTCACCAGATGGAAGAGTTTAACCGAGCAGATGACTTCAGTTTAGACACCTAACCTGGGAAGCAATGGGGAATGTCACTATAGACAACAGCTGGCACTGCAATACAAACTGTGGTCACAAAGAAAGCGAGTCTTAGCAGAAATTTACATCAGCATAAGTTTGGATCGATGAACTCGAACCTAATACAAATTATATCGATGAGCCTACTAAGGGGAGAACTGTCACTAAACCAAAGTAAATATGTTATAGTAAAAAAAAGTATATAAACAACTCTGCTTTTTTAGCAGTAAGCTTCCCATTCACAAGCTAGCTAACAAAAAAATGCAATTAAAAACAATGTAACAAAAAGCACAGAAATTCCATTACATCACACTCATAAAAATACAGCAGTTGATCACACAGAAATATTCATAAAGCTAATACAGAACTCAGCTAGGTATCACAGGAAATGAAGCCACAGATCACTATACAAATACTGAACAATGTCCTAAGAAGAGTAAATGCCTTTTTTGTTTTGTTTTTTTCTTTCTTTCCCTCCAAAGCAATGTGTTTTTCACAAGTGTGAATAAATTAAGCGTCACTCTACAAGGCTCCGCGTCACCAGGCTCTCTCTCAGGCTATTTCACCGTTACTCAAATTGCACTGAACTACCTTGCTACAAGCTTTCTACTTCAAGCACAACGGGCTGACAGGTCGGCTCCCAGGAACAGCCTAAGAAGCGGCTTGCAAGGTATTGCTTCACATTTATTTTTTTAAGGGAACCTACACAACAGTTGTCTAAATCAAGAGACGGCAAAAATTTGTGTAACATCAAGAATGCACCAACATGAAGCTGAAAGAAGCTGGAGCGATGGAGCTGTGCGATGGTTGCTGCTTTTAATATTTTAAATTCTGCTCCCATGGAATTATTTTTGTTTTAAGGAAGAAAAGAGAAAAGAAAGAAATTAGTGTTCTTTCCTAATAAAGCAATAGACTTTTGACCAGTTAAACACTGACATTAACAAGTTTTACAAAAATTGTTTCAAGTATCCTTTTTTTTAATCACAGTGAAAAATGTAAGACCAAGATGTAAATGTTGACGTGAATGACTGAAAGTTTCTTAGATGAAAAAGGCAAAGGTACTAAATCAAAACATACAAAAATGCTTAAACGCATTTCCTTCATGTGATATGAATAGAAAGGTTATCTGTAAAAAGTTAGAAAAATTAAAATAAATTACATATTTAAGTACACTTTCCCTTCAACATTTTTATAAAAATTCGTAATAGTGTACTCTTGAATATACACAGAGTAAAAATGCACAGGTGCCGTAGGTTATCACCGCTATCTACACGCCGCCGCATTTGCTGCGGTTGATTTTGTTACTTCAGTACACCCAGCTGATGGGGACCCACTGCGGCTCCAGCCTCAGTCTCTCGATAGCCATCTGCAGCTTCTCGAAGGCTTTGTCCAGGTTGTCGTTTACAATGGTCAGGTCAAAATAGTGGTTGTACGCTCTCTGGATCCGGGCGCTTTCATCCACTGTCTTCTTCAAATCAGTGTCCTGTCAGAGAGGTGGTAAGGATTACTAAGAACGTAAGACTTGGCAAATCCTTACAAATACAGAAGCGTGCCTTCATTACATACTGCTACTATTTAAAGCTATATACTTCATGGATTCTAAATCTACGTATAAAGCTATATAGTACATTTAAAAAAATAATGAAAGTTTTCACTTACAGTAAATCCACAAAGAACTTAAACTAAAATGCACTGAAAGGGCTGAAAAAGTGATGAGCTGTGCCAATCGTGTTAAATAAGGCAATCAAATGTTTGCAAATCTTGCCATTTTTGAGCAAGTCAATAGAAGCGCGTAAATTTGGGTTGAACATGCACAAGCGGCAGTTAATCATTTTGTATGCGCAACTAACGATCCAATCTGAATAAAATTAATGCCTTAGGAATGACTGAGCCAATCAGCTACATAAATATACTTGTGCCCTTCTTTATTTCCACAGAAAACACAAAAAATCCAAGAATTTAAACTAGAATGAAATGAAAGACAATGAAAAATACATTTCTAGTAGAACAGAGCTCTAGAATGCTTTATTGCTTTTAGAGGCTACATTTCAGCCTTAATCCCCTGACATCAGTTCCTTATTTGTAAACTACTGATGTATTATTTCAGTTCTGACATGAGCTGTGAAATATGCAGCAAATTTATATTCCTACATTATGAAGCCTTCATGACTGTTGCCACTGAGCATTTTTTGGTGTTTCATTAGTCCTACGTTCTTAGAAAATTCCTCTCCACTTTAGCACAAAAGCAATCTTTTTGTAAGCAGTTATGTGATTTGGCCCCTTGACAATATTTATTTTAGTATTTTCAAGTCCTGATACAGTTGTAAATACAAAAGCCAAAATGAAAAAGTAAGTCTGCGAATAGCCTTTCCTTCATGGTGAATGAAGGAGACAAGCAAACGTAGCACCACAAGAGCCAGAATTTTTGCAAGGGCTTAGTATGCTAGAAATAATGCAGAGGGACTCACTAGCAAGCAGAACATAACACTTTAAATGACATTTGGTTTTCATTTGTTCAGGAAGTACAAGAATATGAAATAGGAAATCATATTCTTTATCTATTTGTGCACAGATATGATTTAGAATCCATAAATGTACATTTTAAATGTAACTATCCTCTTTATTATTCACAAGGACAAGTCAAAACAAAGGCAAGGATGTCCCTTAGGGAATCAAATATTAGGAAGTGAAGGAAATTATTTTTGTACTTGTCTGGACCGTTTTAACCTTGCATTCTTGTATATGCATCACAGAATTCAGGATTCATTTGGGGCGGGGAGGAGGAAAGGCAGAGCACCCACAGAGATACCAGAACACATAATGACCAGAAACCATGACAAGGACTGGACAGTATCTCGTGTGGTCAAGAGAACTGGATCTCACAGGTTTGAAAAGGAAAAAAATAAAACCCAAACAACTAAAATTCCCATATTCATTTAGTGGAAATTAACCCACTCCCAATTTTACTGCTGAATGCCTTTTCAGCGTAGTACAACATATTGCTGCTATCTAAGCTGCAGCCCTATCGTTGTGGGTTGCCAGCAAGCGACGGCTTTTCTCAGATGGGGCAGTTTTGCTGCTGAACACAGAGGATGGTTTTCCCAACAGCTCCATTTGGCTTTCTGTGCTTTGGTCCTGTAGCTGGGAAAGTTCGTGCCCATACTGAATATCTGTAATTTGCTGTGCTGGAGGAAGCATGTCCATTTCCCTCTACTACACACCGTGTCTCAGAAAAGGAGAAAAGATCTCCTGAATAAAATGTGCCACTTTGCTTTCCATGACAAATCCAAGGAACTGAAGGGGAAGAGAAGCTCCTGCTCTGGCAGCTCCCAACCATCCTCAGTGCAGCCCATGGTGCTGCAGCAGTGGAACCAAGGCCTATTTGAATTCTGTTTGGGGTTTTTATCTTTCTTTCCTTTTTTTAATGCACATTGCAATCTCTTTTTCTGAGGATTACAGATACCAGTTTTAAAGCAAGCCTGTATTATGAGACAAACCTGAACAAAACTTTTTAGGGGAAAAGATGGAGAAAATGAAGGGAAGACGTTTACATAAAAGAACAGTTCCCACCATCAGATCCCTACCATTTGCAGCAAATAATCAAAGGTGACACTTCCCAAAGAACACATTACAAGTCATTTTTGTAATCAACATGTCTCTGTAAGAGCTCTATTTTTAAGAGAGAAGCAATCTGCCTTATACATAATGTTTCATTAACTTCTACTAAGTAATCAGCAGCAGCCCTGCCTGACTTTTCTTAGAGACATTAATTTCAGAACAAATTCCATCTCAAATGAAAGGTAAAAAAAAAAATCTAAGACCATCCTGTACAAAGCAAACTAAATATTAAATAATCTGCTTACAGTGAGAAGTTTGGTTGTAATTCCAGCATCTACCACAGCCTTGTGCATAGCACGTAAGGTCTCCAACTCCGGAGCAGCAATAAACACTACATAGGGCATGAATTCTGAAGTCCTCAGTATTTTCAGGGCCTAGAAGCAAAGAAAAGAAAAGAAAAAAACCCAACTAAGTTTCAGAACGACTCACCACATGTCCCCTTTACTTCAGGGGCACTGCAAAATGAGTCTGTTACAATGGGCAAAAACACATAAGGCAAAGATTCTTATTGCTATTTTAGAAACTCCTACACTGGCTTTTGAAATGCTCAGCATTGTTCTTTCCTAGGCTAAAAAAGGTCACTTACTGCTCTGCAAGACTCCTCTTCCACACAGAATCCAAGCTGGTTTTTTTCCATTTTCCTAGCTCGTCCCAACCAAGTGCCACAAACGCAAGAATCCAGCTGATACCGTAATCTTTAAACCAGATAAGAAGCCTTCAACTTTAAAGGCGTGCCTCCTCAACGTTGCAGTGCAACATTATAATCAAATACCTGTGGATTCACATCCAAGATGCAGGTCCTTCCTGTCTGAACAACTTCAAGTATGGAATCAATTTTGGTGCCATAAAGATTTCCTTCATATTCTCCATGTTCTAAATATCTGCCAGCTTTAATATCCATCTCCATTTCACCTCGTGACACAAATCTGTACGCTTGCCCATCCTTTTCATCATCCCTTGGCTTTCGTGAAGTAACTAAATAAAAAATTAAAAACACAAATGGAATGTCTTCTTTTTATATTTGGAATACAAATATGAAACTGCACATTAATATATCATTATAATTGTTCCATATATAATTATTCTAGTAGAACTTTAAAAACTGAGCACAGCCCTTCCTGTTCCCTTTTTTTCTGTCTTCTCCTCTATGTTGCTTACCCACCGATTTGCTGATTTCCTTTGTATTATTCCTTCACACCATATACAATACTTATTCATATAATCTAATTATTCACTTAATAAAATAATTGACTTGGAAATCAAATGGCAGTCTAACGCTCAAATGCCAAGTGTACTTCTGAAAACAACTGAGCACACATCAAAATCTGCCCTGCCCCTCAAACCCTAGCACATGCTTTGCTCACTGTATTTGCCCTGTTATTCAGGGTAGAACTACCTGACCTAGCTATAAATAAAGTGAGCTTATCCATCAGAAGCGCAGCCACTGGAGCAGAATCTTAGTGGAGGCCAGCAGCCAGCTAATGCTGCTTTCCAGGACTACCTACCCTTTAAAGCAAGGTAAATTCACTGCAGAGAAATTAAAGCCAATATTCAAGTAAAACCTGAGCAGCTATCTCGGGTATTGGCTACACTGTTCAGTACAGACATTATTTAAACAAGGAAGTGAAAACAAAATAAAATTAAATAAAGTATCAAATTATTACTGACTTTTGCTGTCCTATCATCATATTGCCTGCCCACTACTTGCATTTAATTAGATTTGAACTCTAGAATATATTAAACATAACAGGGAATGGATCCCCTTGGTAATACTTATATCACCACTTGGTGCAGTTTGGAGATACAAGTGGAAAGCATTCTCCCCCTTCCAGTAATTCCCATCAACTCAAGTCCCAGAAGAAATGGTCTTCTGAAGCTGTCAGCATTTAATACATTACTAGAAAATCTAGTTTTAGCCATGATTCTACAGAAAGATTAAAACTACCATGGTTAATGCAACATAAAAAAAAAAATGCATCAGTTTGAAATAAATTTTGGAGAATGAGCTTGAAGAGTTTACAGCCAGGGCTGACTTCACAGTTCAGCTATTCACACTGAAGAAAAAGCACAGCAGCGTTTGCTGGATTAGAACTCAACACCAAGGACGTGCTTCTCCCCATAGCAAAATGGATCTGTTTCGGCTGTTTTTAAAAAAAAAAAAAAAAAAAAAAGAAACAAAAACCCCAAAATGCAAAAAACCCACAAACCCTACCCACCCCCATTATTTGTTCATGAATAACCAAGAGAATTTTCTTTTAATCAAAGAAACCAGGGCCAACTAAGATTACTGGTTATCCTACTTAAAATCTAAATAAAATAAATATAAAATATATATAAAGTAGAGAGGAGATTCTACATACAATAAACTATGTAGTGCATGTGCATGACTAGACTGTTGGATTGCTAGGTTGGAAAACTTCATTTTAACCCTTTGAAGGGTGTTCAAGAGCTCCAAGAAAAAGCATTTTTACACTGTGTTGCATTCCTTACATGTATTTAAGCAACTATAAAGCATTTTAGAGTAACCAGTAATTTTGAGGGCTTTTTGAAAAGAGAATAACAAATTTCAGAAGTAATAAAAAAGTTTCTTACTATTTTAGCAGTGTAAAATAACGAGATTTTCAGGGGAAAACTTCTTTAAAGAAGTAACACTGAGAAATCAACCTTGTTATCAGTCACAGACACCAATTCTTAGTGCTCTGTCCAGTTCTGGAGTTAGAGATTCAGCAAATGAGATTGGTTCTCTCATGCTGCACAATTTATCTTGCAGGTCTGTCCCTGCTCCCCTGTTATCAGATCAACTTCTCGCTCACTGAGAACAGAAGGGAACAGGCTGGTTTTGAAATTCAGAAAAGCAGGCAGCAGGAGGAGAATAATAATGTAGCTGGGGTGGACTTCTCTGGTAAGCACTCAAACAGGACAGGGCAGTTAAAAAAAATAAAGATCTTGTGATGAGCAAAGTAACTATCTGAAAGGAAGGCAAGAAAACACCACTTCAGTAAGGGAGGTTTTTTTCTGAACCTGATAGGAAAAAAAAAAGATCATGGGCTTGAGGCTAGATGCATTGAAACATCAGATTATCACACCAATCACGGAGATCACAAACACTTCCGTTTTATTGGATGTTTGTTGCTTTTTCCTACGTTTCTAATACTAAAGTAACAGTTTATAGTGCCTAGGGTGCTTCTACAGATAGAAAACTAAACGGCAGACCTGTGAAACTCCACTGGCTCTTCGTTACAGAAGACCACTAGGAGCTTCTAGAATCCCCTCAGTAACTGATGGCAACTGACACTGGAGAAACCCGGCAGACTGAAATATGGCACATACAAACATGTTTTTTCTGCAGCATCAGTAACATGTAACTGCTAGTTATGAATATTTTCACTGTCATCATATGTTAGTTCAGCATCTGTGAAGATGAAGAACCTTTTGTTGTCTCACTCTATACAATTTTTATAGTCTGACAAAATTACCCCTACCCTGAATTACTGAAACAAACATCAGGTATTTTCCAGATAACCAGACTCAAAGTCCGATATTACAATAGGAATGCTGACGACTTACATGGCACTGTAGTTCCAAACCTAGCAGGATTCAGTACTATAAACCTGTTCTTCAAACTCCTTCGCCCCACTCCTTGGGCCCCAATTAAGACCAGTGTTTTCCTCTGAAAAGGGGGCATTTTGGCTACTTCCTCATAGATCTGGATTTCATGACGATCAAATTCTACATTGAGAAATGTACAAAAATAGTTAACACACAGTACTAAAAAAAAAAAATCAGTCCTGCTATATATCAACTGACCATATGTGAATATAAATAGCACTCAAAGGGCATTAAGTCTCATACAAGCTTTCTTGATTTAAATTGGGATGGGAATAAAAGAGTTACCCCTTCATGAACATCACTATTGCTTTTAAACCATAAAAACGATCTATCAAACTTATAACAGTATTTTTCTGCAAATCTTTCAGCTTTGGATGCACTGCAAATTTAGAAGCCTATAGAACTTTGACTCTCATGTAATACTCAGATACCTGCATTTCTTGTAGTGAGATACATCATCTTTTTCTTTTTTTTGCTGCTTATTGTTCCGCAGAAAGGCCCTAGAAATAAAAATTGAGACAAACTCATCATTTTTGTTAAATGTGTTTTTCCGAAGTTTATTTACATAAACATATGCATCTTTAGATTAAATAAATTTAAAAGGACTATTTTAGAATTTTATATATTCTAGGACAGGTGATCACATCTATTTTCATACACAACAAATGGCACAGCAGAGAGAAAAAATTTATTTTCCTGGGAAGTTTTGTAAATAGTAGCAGAAAAATCCATCCAACATGTTCAACCTATTAACTTTCAGTACATACTGTAAGAACGTAATTTTAAATAAGAGCCAATTCTTATGCCTTTGTCACCTCATTTAGCTTTTCAGCAGCAGGTGGCAAAACTGGTTCATGTATCCATGAAGACCAAGCATAGACTTTAGCCTTCCTCCTTCAGTCAAAGCCAAAATACAATAATTAGCATTTCACAATACTCTCTGTATTCTCACAGAGCAGTTTTCTATTATCTATGAAAGCAGGAAAAGCAAAACAAATGGAGTCAGAGCAAAATCTAATCCTGAAATTCATTAAATCTCACCTGAGTTGTCCCAGTCCCTCCTAACAAAGGCCTTTCTCTTCTCTTCCAGGAACTGGCTGGGAATAAGCCCTGCACTTCCTCCTTCTTTGACATGACTAGCCTGGTGGGAAAAAAAAAGAAAATCATAGGTACCTTGTGAGAAGCATTTTTCTCATCAATATGGTGCTGACTGACTTTCACACTGCCAGAGTTTCTCAGTGGTGCACATTGATACCTTTACTACTGAGACTTGGAAATTCAAACTCGGATGTGGATATTAAAATTCTGTCTTACAGTAACAGTGTCATGCCACTGAGTATTAAAATCCAGGAAACTTAAATAAAATAGATACAAGTTTCATTACTGTTCCCATTAAGTCAGTAAGCTCCTACAGCCATAAATCTTTGGCATCAAAATCCTAAGTGGAATCCTACAGCTCCAGACATTGAACTCTCAAGTGACAAAACTCACGACTTTCTAGTACACAGTACACTTACTTTGCATTCTTGAGCTGCTCCAAATGGGTTCCAGTGCAGCTTATTAACTGTCCTTTCACAAACATGGAATGCCATTAACACATGCCTAATCATGCCTTCAAGCTTTTCTGCACTAAGTAACTACAAATTTAAAATCTTAGTAACTTAATTATTCCTAGTAATGAAAGTTTGGCTAAAATTCTCTATAAAATAATTTCATGGCAAGCTTAATTCTCAGCAAGCTTAACACATATAAACACAGTTATGAAATGTTACACTTCTCCATAACTGGTTGGCCTGTCTCTTGCTAGCAGGAACTGTTTGCTTTACAAGTTGCATGCTTTCACCTATGACTAACCCATTTTTTTACAATTAGCAGGTTTTCATTAACAGTCTGGCATTTGTAGAAAGTAGAAGGAAAAAACTAACGTTTTTTTCCCCCAATGGCATGATCTGCATAGCAATACTTGCAACACGCTACACTGCTTCAACGCATTTCATTTTTTGCCACTGATGGAGTGTTTAAGCTTTTGCTCCTGGACTCCCACAAGTTACAACTGGAGGATTTGAAGAGCAAGAGAAGGCAGCATTAAGCTAAATGTCAAACTACTCCTGAGTGTTGGAGAGTCTAACTTTTGAAACTAGTTAACTTGGCAGTAATCAATTTTCTGCCACCCCACACACTTTTTATTCTCTTTCTGGCATTATTGTCACTGACAAGGAAAAGAATTCAGCAACAGTTGCTGATGTATATTCAAATACTTTTGTTGCTTTTAAAGATGTGTGTGCGTGTATAT